GGAAAGCAGTTAGCTGCCGGGAGACAAGTTTCTCAAGAACTTTGGAGAGAAAAGGAAGAATAGAAATTGGACGATAATCGGAAAAGTCGGAAGGATTTGATTTTTTCGGAAGTGGAATGACGTTCGCGTCTTTCCAGGATGTGGGAAAAACACCAGTCAAAACTGAAGTATTGAGGATTTTGGTAATTATGGGGCACAAGATATCAATAATGGGTAGGATCATATTGCGACTGATCGAATCACTACCCACTGCACTGGAAGTAATAGATAAAATAGCTCTCCTAACATCACAGTCCGCAAATTGATGCATGAAAAAGGGAGAGTTGAGAGTTGGTAAATTCGAAAGACGACGCAGAGTTTCTGCCTTACAGTATCCATCAATAGGAGACGAGGTGGAGAAGTGACTATTAAGTTGATTAATATCAAGTTTAGGAGAATTACCGCTACGTGTTTTACCAACCCCAAGTGACCGTAGAAACTTCCAAACTTTTCCCGGGTCATCGTTTTCAACAGATTTGTGAATATGGCGTCTCTGGGCGTCCCTAATCACAGTGTTACACTTATTTCTAGCGCGATGGTATTTCATCTCGTTCCGCTTCGAAGGATCGAGTCTAAATTTCGTTTTGGCCCTATTCCTCACTGCCATCAACCCCCGAATATCCTCCGTTAACCAGGGAGCAGGAAGGTGCTTAATTTTGATAGGACGTACTGGAGCATGTTTGTCGTAGAGTTCAATGATTAAATTGTTAAAATGCTCAACTTGTTCATCAACATTGTTAGAGGTAAATATAGCCGACCAGTCTTTGTCGACAGCATCTTCCATTAGCTGGTCTTGGTTAATGTTGGCGAAACTACGCTGAAGTCTGACAGTTGGTTTCAGTTTGGGAGGCCGAACCCGGTAAGATACATATACCAAGTCGTGATAGGAAAATGCATTTGCAGAATATTGCCCGTACTTAACAGCTAATGAAGGAGAAGAGACGATTACTAAGTCAAGTAAAGAGGGAGAACAATTGGGGAAATGATGAGTTTCCTTTAAAGGAAGGATATGCAAATTTGAGGAGTTTACTATTGAATGAAGTTTCTTAGAACGCAGGTCATCTTTAATAAGGCAAGTATTGAAATCACCCATAATTATAGTGTGGGTGTAAGAAGGGACAAAATGTTCAAGGAGTAGTTCGAATGACTCGAAGTAATCAATACGAAGTGAGGGACTATAAAATACGCCTAAAAGAATTTTAGTGTACGAGAGTGATACCTCAAGTAAGAGATGCTCGGCGCTATTGGGGGATGGAGGCTGAGGAGATCTACTGAGGATAGAAAAAGGAATATGCGATCGCAGATAAATAGCCACCCCACCATGGGAAGAACTCACACGGTCATTACGGATCAACTGAAATCCAGGTAAAGAATAGGAAGTAGACGAGAGACGAGGATTAAGGAACGTTTCAGAAATGAGAATAGCGTGGATGTTTTTACAATTGAAAGAAGTAAGCATGTCTGGAAAATGAGCTGGGACACTTTGTGCGTTAATATGAACCACATTGAAGTTTTTTGCAGCATTACAGAAGGTGTCATCTAAAAGCTCGCTCAAAGGGCGATCTGAGCTATGAAAGCTAGAGTTCGATTCAGAAGAAGAGCAAGATAGAAAAAGATCACTATCTAATGAATCCATTATAATAATATAGTATAAAAATAAATAAATTAAATAAACTTAATATTTCTACACTACTTTCATATATAAATACCCACAGGTTGTCTGAAAGTACCTAATATTACAATAATTTATACATACACAACATTTTAACAAATAGAAGAAACGGAATGTTAAACATAAACAACAAATATACACAGCGGACAACAAAAAGTCGTATTCCTTAAAGCTGGCAGAAGCAAAAAAAACACAACAATATAACACTTAGAAGTTATAGTAAGTGATGGCTGTATGGGTTAAAATCCCTACGCCTTAAATGAAATGTGAAGTAAATGTGACAGCTCAAAATGACAGGCAGAAAACAAGCAAGCAAAGCAGTGTACAAAATGAATTTAGTAATTGTCCTTGTGATAAAAGGGTAAACAAATAAAAATTTATAGTTTTTTGATGGTGAAAGATAAACAAAATACAAAAAATAGTTATACAGAAGGAGTTGACAATATTAATGTAAGGTACTTATACGTAAAGACTTTGACAAATTGGTAAACACAAACCTACAATTTACTTCCTCTTTGCAGAGACTGCACGTTTGCCCCTTACGCCAGTGGATGATGTACCTGGTGCTTGTCCTTTATTAATGGAAGGCTGCAGCATCTTCGCAGGCTCAATCGCACCTAACCTCTCGACATCCGTTAGAGACAGTATTCGATGTCGCTTGCCTTCTCCATCAATAGCAAAGATGCGCCCGGCATAGGTCCAACACTTTGACACTCCAAACCGTTCACGAGCCGCAACAAATATTTTATGACGGTGTCTCGTCAGGAACTCCGACATTGTAATGCCAGAGCCCTTTAGACCAGTTTTAATGGACCACAGTTTATCTCGGACTGCTTCGTCACGTAACGCAACCAGTAGTGGTCGTGGCCTGTCGTGCCGAGTCCGACCCATCCTTACTACCCGGCCCACATCACCAGCCACCACCTGAGACGTCGGAAGGTGCTGTGACACAATTCTTAAAAATAGTTTGGTGGGGTCCTCATCCTGAGTCTCTGGTACACCATGAAACAACAATATACCACGGCGAGTTTGCATCTCCATATTGTCACATTGGGTAGCCAACACAGCAAGCTGCTTCTCAAGGCTCTTAAACATTGCCATCACAAAGCCTCGAAACTCTTCAAACTCCTGTGCCAGCGTAGACAGTGAAGATGGTTGTGGAGCTGTGGTCTTCTGAAGCTTGTTCTCAAAGGCAGTCATCCGCTCAGAAAATGAATGTGAAAATGACTCAACAATGCTTCTGATGTCTTCCATTTTTGTGTAAATTCACTGTGTTAGAGTGCAGTTAAAATTCCTAGTATAAATAGTGTTGTGGAGAGGAGATAACAGCTGCAGGTATTAAACACTATCAGTACATACTTTAAGTAATAATATTATATAATTATAATTATTATAATTATAATATAATTAAAAAAAAAAAAAAAAAAAAAAAAAACTGTCAATACCATCTATACGCTGATGATCTGCAATTATATTTGCCATTCTCTCCTTCAAATCATACTGCCGCTGAGTTAAAAATAAATGAGGATCTGGCTCACATAGCTGCCTGGTGCGACTCAAACTGCCTCACCTTAAACGCAAAAAAATCAAAATTAATTTTATTTGGCACAAAGAAAAGTTTGACTAAATTTAGCAACAGCTGTGGTTCATTTGACATTAACTTAAGGGGAGAGAAGATAGAGAGAGTGGAGAGAGTTAGAAACCTAGGTCTGACGTTGGACAGTTACCTTAATTTTGAAGCTCATATAACAGAATGTGCTAGAGCTTTATCGCCTCAAACTACTTTACAAAGTAAGGCCCTATCTGAGTGTGGAGCTTCGAACTCGGTTGTGCGAATCCTTGGTCCTGTCTAAATTCAATTATTGTGACACAGTGTATGGACCTTGCCTTCGTTCAGGCACTACTGGCATAATTCAGCGCGTACAGAATGCCTGTGCACGGTTCTGCTTTTATATTCCACCTCGCACACATGTCACATCATATCTAAATGCAGCCAATATGCTGAAAATGGATGCACGCAGAAGGCTACATCTGGCAACTTTGTTGTTTGAGCTGGTCCATACGGGGAGGCCACGATACCTTCATGCAAAGTTATCAGAAAAGAGCTTGTACTAATATCTTTACTACTCAAAAACATCGAACTATGGCCTTCCTTGGATCGTTTCGATATGCTGCCTCTAAATGCTGGAACGATATCCCGCCACCGTTGCGTGACCTAAAAACGAAGAACACATTTAGTAGTAACCTCAAAAATTGGCTATTGTCATTACAAAAAGCTAATAATGCGTAGTAATTATATGTGTGCATACCCTTGTGTTGTGCACAACACTCTTGGGGTGGTCTTTGCGAACGTATCCGGTAGGGAGGCAAGATATTCACTTCGCGAATTTCATCGACACGATAACATTAATGTATCTTTGGGACAATAAATAGAAGGCCACTTTGGAAGATGCATATTTTGATGCTTCGAATATGGGCTTCTTATGATTGGAACGTGGCAAATACGTGGCATCTCCTACGTGTCAAAATATATTTGAATATTATGAACATATCGAAGGGTAGTTTTTTGATATTTTACGAGAGACAAAAATAGAACACTATTTTGACAATTGATCGTGCTTTCCTCTGAGAAGGGCAGAGGAATTTTACACATACTGCCTAACTCAGTTTTATATTTATTGTTTATGTCTTTATACCATTTTTATTTTGTCTTCATGTATTTACTATATTACTTGTATTATGTATCTGTTTATGTATATAGGTTTATGTCGGTATACTTTTTCTTTATTTTTTTTTTATGTCACTTATTTGTTTTTGTATACTTGGCATTGTAGGTTGTATTGTTATTCCTTTTTCATTTTGTTTTTTCTTTTATTTTATTTTATATAAGTAGGTGATTCAACCAATGGGCCCTATCAGAATAACAGCGCCTCTGTGTCATTTTGCCCATCTTGAAATGGCACAGGGGCCAACGCAGGAGTAACAGAGTGGTCATCATGGATCCATGATGACCACACTGTTACTACATGAAAATGTTGTATTTTTTTTTGTTTGTATTTTTTTATTTTTTACTTCCTTATTCTCTTATACATTATCATTGTATCTGTTCATGTAAGGTGTAGTCAATAAACTTTCTTTCTTCTTCTTCTTCTTCTTCTTCTTCAATCCCTCACCCTTTTATTCTTGGATACAAGATATTTTGACGTCGTTTAAAAGCAGATCTTAGTTGTTTCAACCGGCTCTGACCTTAATTCCTCCAGCATCTCCTGCTTAAACGATCGCATCTCCATCACAAAAGCCTGAAATCACTCACTTCTATAGTCATATTGTGAGCAGTATCGTTGGGAGAAGAAGGCTGCTCCACGATAGACTTATTTAATTCTGTAGGGCTCCTTACAGCGGCTCCACGGTGAATTATGATACCGTCAGCGCCGCCTCGAACTGGAGTGTTGCTGTTATCAGCTTTGGGATGCAAGCTCTTGCACAAAACCCATCTCCAGGCCTCTCTGTATTCCTTCGTAAGGGTATTATAGAAACGCTGCTCTGAGACATCTGCACATTCAAGATCGTAAATCTGTTTACAACCACCGCAATATAAAAAGCGTCTATCTTCTATGGTACGTCTACATCCCCGGTAAGATGATATACCGCCACTTGACATTCTTATTTATATGAAAAAATTGGGTGTTTAATACAATATAATACAATACAGAAATTCTTTATTGTACACACCATTTTTTACAAAAATTATCTCGGAATAATAGTATATAAGGTAGTACAAGGGCGGCCTTATTGCTTAAAGCAATCACTTCCAGGCAACCTTTAGATGGACAGTGGTATATGAAAAACAGATAAACGGTGGCTTAAATTTACTAATA